TCAAAAGCGTGTTTGTAAGTTCCATCGAAACCAACATCAGCTTTCTGCCTGAGGATTTGGACAACATCCTCAACAGCGGCGGCAACGGCCAAGAAGGCAAGAGCAACGAATACCTAATCAAATCAATAATTATTATTAATAGTTATTCAGTTATTTGATTGTTTATACGTACAGATTTCATCTTGATGTGGAGATTAACTTTGTAATGATTATTTATCGGAGATGCTCACTATTTATACACAATTGGTTTTGTGAGTGTAAATGTCTTTTGATAAGCAACTATTTCTATTAGTTATTTGTCTCCAAGGCTGTTAAGTTTGTTCATCTTGTAGAAATGTCATTTTTGAAGATGATACTTCAAAATGAAAGTCGTTTATTAATTGCATCAGTGATGATTGAAACTTTTAAATATAAAGAAAAACCTACATATTATATAAATAATGCAATTAATATCAATGAATCCAACATTGTATTTTAAGAGATTTAAAAAAAATCAATTAATTAGGTGTATAAATAATAGATTATTTTATTTTAAATTATTTTACTTTTATTAAATATATAATAATGTTGATTCTAAAATATTTAAAAGTTTTGTGTGTGTATTAAAATGTTTAATATTTCGAAAACTGGTTAGAACTATTCTATTTGTTTCGGTGTATATAGTAGATATAGTATTTGATTTGAAAAAAATCAGTTAATTTTTGTTAAAATGATGTTTCTATATAAAGTTGATGCAATATATACATGTATATTACAATAGTATATACATTTGAAATAATTTATCTTTATTTTGCTTTTCTAGTATTTCTCTTTGCTGATGATTATGAAATGCAAGTGGATGTTTTTTCTTTATATATTAGACAAATCAGGATATGACTATTTCTATAATGATTTAAGTCATTATTAAGTAACTTGCATTAGTGCAATGGTCACCAAACTTTTTCAAAGATCTAGCTGAAACGTTCAATGTTCTAGCTAATTCAATTTTCTGGGTTTATTAACAGACTTGATTCACTTCATATAAATTAATATTTTTAAGTGTCATCTTTGTTTAGAATACTAATATTATATTAACATCATTTCCTATTTCTGTACTTTTTTAGGATCTGCCTTGTATAAGAACAATAATAAATTCAAAAAAGAAATTCAAATCTAAATGGAAAAGAACAAATACTTCTAATAACTTTTTATTATATTGCTGTTTTTATTTATGGTAATATTTATTTACAAATCATGTATGTACATAAAAAGGCATTTATAATACTTTTCCATGTGGAAGTTGTTGTGGGTGAGCTGCGATGTAGTCAAGAGCCCTTTGGATGGCAGCTGGGATTGGTGGTGGAGTTGGCAAGAAGTCGGCTTGTGGTTGGAAACCGTTCTCATCGGCAACGTAATGAAGAGCGTATTTAATTCCATCTGGAGCAGTGAATTCGTAAGAACCAGCAGCATCTACAGCAGCGTTTTCGGATCCAGCGTTCTTCAAGACTCCGTGTTCCTCGACAACAATTCCGTTAGAGGTTTCGAAAGCATGTTTGTAAGTTCCATCGAAACCAACATCAGCTTCCTGCCTGAGGATTTGGACAACATCTTCAACAGCAACGGCAACGGCCAAGAAGGCAAGAGCAACAAATACCTTATCAAATCAATAATAATTATTAATAGTTATTCAGTTATTTGTTTGGTTTTACTTACAGATTTCATCTTGATGTGGAGATCAACTGTGTAATGATTCTTTTATGTATTTCGTTTGCTATTTATACACAATTTGTTTTGAGAGTGTGATTGTCTTTTGATAAGCAACTTTTTTCTTGAGTTAGTTGTTCCCAAGGCTATTAAGTGCGTACATATCGTAGAAATATAATATTTGAAGATGATCCGTTAAAACGAAGGTCGTTTTTTAATTGCATCAATGATGATCTGAACTTTTAATTATAGATAAAATTTATGAAACCTGCATATTTCTTTATATTTATTACATACAATTGATTTTAATAAATAATGACAATTGAAATAATAATTATATGTAGATTTTTTAATTGCAAAATATTACATAAAAAGTTTAATTAAATAATATCGATTGTATTGCATACGTAGTAAACCTCCGGCATTTTTTTTATTAATGAAGAATTTGTATATCACTTTATAAAATTATGCAACACGTTTACAAGTTTTGAGTATAAATAATGTGTGAGATGCTAGACGAGCCATCATTTGATTCATAAAATTTAGTGATTCCACATCTCAACATGAAGGTTATTGTAAGTAGAGATGACTTTCTAATTAAATAATAGAATATTGTCCTGAGAAGCATTAAATAAAATAAATTCAAAGACATTCTTGTATTAACACATAAATAATTTTCAAATTTTATAGTAATTGTCAACATTATCATTATTTAATAAATTTAACTTTTTTTTTAGATTGTTGCATTCGCTTTCTTGGCTGTTGCCTTCGCCGCTCAATCCGACGAGCAGGCAGAAATCCTCTCCCAACAATCCGAAGTTAACTTCGATGGATCTTACCAACATGCTTATGAAACCGGAAACGGCATCTCCGCCCAAGAACAAGGTGTCTTGAAGAACGCCGGAAGCAAGGATGGTGAAGCCGAAGAAGTCCAAGGATCTTACCAATACACCGCTCCAGATGGTACCCCAGTTAAAGTACAATACGTCGCCAACGAATTCGGTTTCCAACCACAAGGAGATCATCTTCCAGTCGCCCCAACTCCACCACCAGTACCAGCTGCCATCCTCAGGGCTTTGGAATACATCCGTACCCACCCACAACAACCAGAAGTTGTAAAGAAACATTAAATTCCTGATGATCCGATTTTCGTACTGATTTTATTGAGACTTCTTCAACTCAACTCATTTTGTAAATAATGTGCCATTGTTGATATTAAAGTTAAGATTATAAGAATCTAATTTTCATTTAATTTAATTCAGTTTTAACACTTTTCAAACATGATATTTAATAAGAAATTAAGATATTAAGCACAGTTGTTAGCAGATGTAATTATTTCGTTGAATAGTCACTGAAGAGATTGTTTTTATTTGTTTACAAAACAAATATGTTAGTAACTGTAATATATATTCAGTTCAATATGGGAAAGATACAGATGTTGATTGAATATTTTCAAATATTTTTGGAAATACCCATGGATTCATTCCACTGGATCATCATCATCATAAAATAGTCTGTCTCGTCCACTGCTGAATATAGGCCTTTCTTAATTGCTTCCAATTCTCGCGGTCTTGAGCCTCTTGGATCCAGTTTGAGGCGATGCATTTCAGGTTGTTTGTCCAGCGGGTTGGCGAACTTACGCGGCTCTGTCTTCTATATTAAGGGTTTAGCTATTTCCTGGCACGCTGGCCAATGCGGTTTCATAGTGGTCCAATTCCACTGAATAATATTGTATAAACAAACATTGTTTTAAAAATTTCTTTATAATGAGTTGAGTTATTTTCTCATAGTTTTTAATGTAATTTTAATATAATAACTACACTATTCACAATTGTTTAATGTACAAATATTTTTTACTTTTATTATAATTATTTTCATCGGACACACACTTTTTATTCGAAACTGTAAATTTTATTATTTAATATTATTTTAATATATAAATTGAAATTACATATTTGTATATAATAGATCATTATTAAAATCTTCTATTTCATATGCACATTTTTATTGTTTAGTTATTTTAAATATGACTATGAAATTATATATCAAAAGATATGTCATAATATTTTTGTTCATTAGCAACTATTCTAATACATTGTTTGTATTGATTATTTCCACCATTTTCTAATATAAGAAATGAAGAAACTAAAAATATGGGATGATGTTTTTTATAGGACGCAGGAACACGTCTCGAAATTGTTAAGCAGACTATATTTTTTATTATCAAATACTGAACGAATAATTTCAAAAAAGTATATATTTTTTTACAGATTCATATATTGAATGAAAAATATATAATTTCTTGTCGATATCTTATGTTATAATACAGTGATTCTCAAAGTGGGGCTCGCAAATAATACTTGGGGGGTCACAGTAGAATTGATAATATATGAGGCGGTATCTTTTTCTACATATAACCATTCTTTGGAGGGTCCTTTAAGTACAAAAGGGGGTTGCGTTTCCAAAAAGTTTGTATATAGATAGTTTTAATTTCTAATTTTAAAAGGATTATTTTTATTATGGTATGGTATTTGAAATACCACCAGCAGCGTTTTTCTATTATAAAATTCTTTATAGCACTTTAAAATATTATGCAATGATTACAAGTTTCGGTCAAGTTTGAGTATAAATAATGTGGGAGATGCTAGACGAACCATCATTTGATTTATAAAATTTGGTGATTCCACATCTCAACATGAAGGTTATCGTAAGTACAAGATGACTTTCTAATTAAATAATTGAATATTGTTCTGAGACATACTAAATAAATCTCCATATTTCTTAATATATTATAAATTGTATCTGTTATGTAAATTGAACTAATTATTTCTGTTTTCTTTTTTTTAGATTGTAGCATTCGCTTTCTTGGCTGTTGCCTTCGCTGCTCAATCCGATGAGCAAGCTCCAATCGTCTCCCAAGACTCCGAAGTCAACTTTGATGGATCTTACCATCACTCTTATGAGACCGGAAACGGAATCTCCGCCCAAGAACAAGGTGTTTTGAAGAACGCCGGAAGCAAGGATGGTGAAGCCGAAGAAGTCCAAGGATCTTACCAATACACCGCTCCAGATGGTACCCCAGTTAAAGTACAATACGTCGCCAACGAATTCGGTTTCCAACCACAAGGAGATCATCTTCCAGTTGCCCCAACCCCACCTCCAGTACCAGCTGCCATCCTCAAGGCTTTGGAATACATCCGTACTCATCCACAACAACCAGAAGTTGGAAAGAAATACTAATTAGTTAAGAAACGGATAAACGCACTGAGTTAACATAAATTGTTGCAATGAAATTAGATTGACTTTGTATATAATGTGTTATTGTTGATATTTAAAATAAATCTCATTTATTAAGGAAACAGTTATTTCTTTATTTTATTTTGAATTTACGAACACATTTTGATTCAATTACTGAATTAAATTATTATGTACTATAAACTTTATTGTACTAGTTATTTATTAGAAAATATTTAACGGTTTATATCAACGGTCGGCTACCTTTTTAAGCAGAGCCATTAAGATCGTTTATTTTTACTAGTGAAATTAATTTTCCAACATAGTTATCACTGTAAGAGCTAGTAGCCATAATTCTTCGTCAAAAGAACCGCTTGTCTCTCCGGATCATCGGGTTTCTACTCCATGATGAAAGTGTGTTTTTCTGATCACAAAATATTTATTATTAATTACAAATATTAAATATGTACAGAATTAAATATTTATATATATATTTTTGTCTACTAATTTCAAGTCTACTTTATTCTATTTTATCACATTTTGTAATCATTATTTATTATATTTCTAGTGTATTTAGAAATAGTGAAATCATTTCGATATATTCAGATATGTATAAAAGGAGTAATATATAAAAGTAAGTTTGTGTTCTCATAAAATAGAGATAATTTGATTACGATGTTAGAAAAATTATGTAAATATAGTAATAAATAATCGTATTTCAAGGTAACCAAGTAGTAGATGGTATTTAATAATAATTTTAAATCTTAGTATATTTATATTTTTTTAATGTGACGAGTTTTTTTGCATTCACACTGTAGAAAAACGAATTTATGTTACAAGAAAATAAAAGATGGAATTTAATAAAATCGTCTGACGTAATGAGTTTAGTAATTTATATGAATCTACATAGTTCGAATAAAAATGATTAGTATTTGATCTAAAAATTAATTTAAATTATTGCTAACATGTAAAATGTCCGATAAATATTTACTTTTATTTAAATATGCTTGTAATAGATAAGTAATCTAATTTGGAGATTGGAATATTTTAAATTATGTTAATTTATGGATTTTATTACAAATAATAATTGTTGCTTTATAAATATTGTGCCTAAATACCGAAAAAAATTAGTTCTAACTAAGAGAATAAAATTTAAATTTCACGGTTATAGCTTTAAGCGTTGCATTAGATAATTCATAAGAATATTACATATAGATATAGAAAATATAAAAAATGCTATTAAGAAAGTCGGTTACCAAATTTTGGTGTGTTTGAGTATAAATAACGTGGAAGATGAGAGGAAGACCATCATTTGATTTGTAGATCTCAGTGAATCCATACACCAAAATGAAGGTCGCTGTAAGTATATTATTTTGAAATAAAATTACGAATATATAATATTATTTCATCTACTAATAAATGATATATATTTTTTGTTATAGATTGTTGCATTCGCTTTCTTGGCTGTTGCCTTTGCCGCTCAATCCGACGAGCAGGCTGAAATCCTCTCCCAACAATCCGAAGTCAACTTCGATGGATCTTACCAACACGCTTATCAAACCGCTAACGGAATCTCCGCCCAAGAACAAGGTGTGTTGAAGAACGCCGGAAGCAAGGACGGTGAAGCCGAAGAAGTCCAAGGATCTTACCAATACACCGCTCCAGATGGTACCCCAGTTACCACCACCAGTACCAGCTGCTATCCTCAGGGCTTTGGAATACATCCGTACCCACCCACAAGAACCAGAAAAGAAATTCTAAATTAATTAAAATATTGAATCTACCATCTACTGATTATGTAAATTATGTTCCATTGTTGATATTAAATATAAGATTTTCACTTTATTTCTGATATTTTTATTGGTTTGTCCGGAAAGTTTGTATCGATTTTTTCTAAATACCGTTGGCAATGCCAAAGTATATCAGAATAAATAAAAAAGTTGGATATGGATCAAATAATTTGTCTTAGTTTAATACCTGCTTGAAGATGAAAGAAAAGAAAATGCATTATGATATATTTCTATTATTGGAAAGTTAAAAATGCCACTAATGCAATAACTAAGATACGCAGAAGTAGCTTTAACTAAAAGAACTCTACGAAAGTTATTCACTATGTTTAGAGCTGGTGATTTCAGAATTAAAGTGCTGCTAGTAATAATAATGAAATAAAGAAATTAATTAATAAAAACTCGCTCTACAATATACGTGAATTAACAGGGATTAAAGAAATATGAAAAACTACCATGAGCAAACTTTATTGAAGCTTGGTTACATATTCTATTACGATATATAAGTATTACACAGTTTAACTGATAAATATCACGACAATTTCAGCCCTTATGTTTATTTAATTACATCAACAAAATTGTTGGTATTAGTCCGCCAATAATATTTATCAGATAAGGCACTTTCTTTATTTCCATTTATTGGGGATTTTGAGAAATTCCATTAACTGCAAAAACGTTTGTTTCTTCTACAAAAATGTACCTAGAATAGATTTTCGACCAAAAAGCTATAGACATTCTGGATGAGGGCTTGTTTTAGTTACGTGAAAGATGAAGAAATGTGTACTGATCTAAATTATGTATACATTCATAATAATTGCTATACCAACAGTCCTAACGACTCGATGATATTATTTAAAATAACGGAAACATTAAAAAATTCAAATTACTAAATACCAAAAAAAAGTTACTATTAAAGTAGAGAATAAAATAAACACGGCTATAGCTTTGAGCCTTGCATTAGATATTTTTTTAATAATATTACAATTGATATAAAAACATTATAAAAAAAATACTATTAAGAAAGTTGGTTGACAGATTTTGGTGCGTTTGAGTATAAATATCGTGGAAGATGAGAGAAAGATCATCATTTGATTTGTAAATCTCAGTGAATCCACACACCAAAATGAAGGTCGCTGTAAGTATATTACTTTCAAATGAATTAACAAATATATACTATTATTTCATCTATTAATAAATGATATTTTTTTTGTTATAGATTGTTGCATTCACTTTCTTGGCTGTTGCCTTTGCCGCTCAATCCGACGAGCAGGCTGAAATCCTCTCCCAACAATCCGAAGTTAACTTTGATGGATCTTACCAACACGCTTATCAAACCGCAAACGGAATCTTCGCCCAAGAACAAGGTGTGTTGAAGAACGCCGGAAGCAAGGATGGTGAAGCCGAAGAAGTTCAAGGATCTTACCAATACACCGCTCCAGATGGTACTCCAGTTAAGGTACAATACGTCGCCAACGAATTCGGTTTCCAACCACAAGGAGACCATCTTCCAGTTGCCCCAACTCCACCACCAGTACCAGCTGCCATCCTCAGGGCTTTGGAATACATCCGTACCCACCCACAAGAACCAGAAAAGAAATTCTAAATTAGTTGATATATTGAATCTACCATCTACTGATTATGTAAATAATGTTCCATTGTTGATATTAAATATAAGATTTTCACTTTATTTCTGATATTTTATTGGGTTGTCCGGAAAGTTCGTAACGATGCCATTGGCGATGCCTAAGTATATCAGAATATAGAAAAAGTTTGATTGGGATCAAATAATTTGTCTTAGTTTAATACCTACTGGAAGATGAAAGAAAACAAAATGAATTATGATATGTTTCTATTATTGGAAAACCAAAAATGCCACTAATGCAATAACTAAGATACGGAGAAGTTGCTTTAACTAAAAGAACTCTACGAAAGTTATTCACTATGTTTAGAGCTGGTGATTTTAGAATTAAAGTGCTGCTAGTAATAATAATGAAATCAAGACATTAATTAATAAAAACTCGCTCTACAATATACGTGAATTAACAGGGATTAAAGAAATATAAAAAACTACCATGAGCAAACTTTATTGAAGCTATACCATTACGACATAAAAGTATTACATAATTTAACTGATAAAAATCACGACAATTTCAGCCCTTTTGTTTATTTAATTGCACCATAAAAATTGTTGGTATTAGTCCGCCAATAATATTTATCAGATAAAGCACTTTTTTTATTTCCATTTATTAGTGGTTTTGACAAATTCCATTAACTGCAAAAAGTTTTTTTCTTTTACAAAATAGTATCTAGAATTGATTTTCGACCAAAAAAACTATAGACATTCTGGAGGAGGGCTTGTTTTAGTTACGTGAAAGATAAAGAAATGTGTACTGATCTAAATTATGTATACATTCATAATAACTATTATACAAACATTCCTAACGACTTGATGATATTATTTAAAATACCGGAAACATTAAAAAGTCCAATTACTAAATACCAAAAAAAATAACTATTAAATTAGAGAATAAAATAAACACGGCTATAGCTTTGAGCGTTGCATTACATATTTTTTTAATAATATTAGAATTGATATAAAAAACATTATAAAAAAAATACTATTAAGAAAGTTGGTTGACAGATTTTGGTGCGTTTGAGTATAAATAACGTGGAAGATGAGAGAAAGATCATCATTTGATTTGTAAATCTCAGTGAATCCACACACCAAAATGAAGTTCGCTGTAAGTATATTACTTTCAAATGAATTAACAAATATATACTGTTATTTCATCTATTAATAAATGATATTTTTTTGTTATAGATTGTTGCATTCGCTTTCTTGGCTGTTGCCTTTGCCGCTCAATCCGACGAGCAGGCTGAAATCCTCTCCCAACAATCCGAAGTCAACTTCGATGGATCTTACCATCACCTTATAAACCGGAAACGGAATCTCCGCCCAAGAACAAGGTGTATTGAAGAACGCCGGAAGCAAGGACGGTGAAGCCGAAGAAGTCCAAGGATCTTACCAATACACCGCTCCAGATGGTACCCCAGTTAAGGTACAATACGTCGCCAACGAATTCGGTTTCCAACCACAAGGAGACCATCTTCCAGTCGCCCCAACCCCACCACCAGTACCAGCTCGCCATCCTTAGGGCTTTGGAATACATCCGTACCCACCCACAAGAACCAGAAAAGAAATTCTAAATTAATTGAAATAGTGAATCTACCATTGTACTGATTTTGTAAATAATGTTCCATTGTTGATATTAAATATAAGATTTTCTCTTTATTTCCGACATTTTTATTCTGGTTTCCGAAAAGTTTGTATCGATTTTTCTTAAGTTACATTGGCAATGCATAAATATATCAAAATATGTTAAATCTATTGACTTCTATACATATTCTGAAAGATACTTTTTAACTATATTTAAAAAAAAGTTTATTTGGGATAAAATTATTTGTGTTAGTTGTCAGATTTTCATACACTTCTATTACTGGAAAACCAAAAATGACACTAAAGTAATAACTTTGTTATATTCTGCTTACGGAGAAGAAGCTTTAGCTCAGGGGTCCCTAACCCTATGACCCTATGACCGCGGGCACCTTAACGCTCGCCGATCGTTTTTCGTGCGTCCGCCGCTGTGCGGGCAAATATTTTTTTTTGTGTATTATGTGTATTATTGACTATGTCCAACTATAAAATTACCTTGAAAAATAGACCGGCATTCTAGAATGTGCTCTTGGATGCAAAAAGGTTGCGTACACCTGCTTTAGCTAAAAAAAACTATGCAAAGTAATTCTCTATGTTTAGAGCTAGTGACTTCAGCATTAAAGATCAGCTAGTTATAATGATAACATCAAGACATTAAATAATAATAACCCGCACTACACGATACGTCACTTAACAGAGATTTTAAAAATATGACAAATAACCGCAAGCGATTTTCAATTTTAAAATTCTTTATTCAGTGTAGATGCATATACAAAGGTGTTATTATTAAGGGGTGGCCTACATGTGAGCTTGAGCTCATTTAGCCAAGCGATTTTATAAGCTTGGTTATAAAAACTATTATGATATATGAGTTTCACGTAATTTAACAGACAAATATTACGACAATTTCAGCCCATATATTATTTTTTTTCCAAAAAAAAATTGTGGGTATTAGACAGAGTTATATTACTCCACCCATAGTATTCGTCAGATAATGCATCTTCCCATTTCCATTTAATGAGATTTTTGCAAAATTGTATTTATTGCAAATACGTTTAATTTTTACAAAAAAAAAACACCAGGAATAGTTTTTGACGTCAAATCTTATAAATTCTATACAAGGGAATGTTTAAGTTGCGTGAAAGATGAAGAAAAGTGTACAGAGCTCAATTATGTATACATTATTATACAAACTATTATGACAACCCAATAATATTATTTAAAAGTTTATGCACAACCAATGCAAACATTAAATAAAGAATTACTAAATACCGAGAAAAAAACAACAGTTACAATTAAATTAGAAAATAATAAAAATTATAGCGATAACTTTTAGCGTTGCATTAGACAAATTTTAATAATATCAAAATAGATATAAAAAAACTATTATTAAGAAAGCCGGTTACAAAATTTTGGTGTGTTTGAGTATAAATAACGTAGAAGAAGAGAGGAAGATCATCATTTGATTTGTAAATCTCAGTGAATCCACACACCAAAATGAAGGTCGCTGTAAGTATATTATTTTGAAATGAATTTATTATTTCATCTACTAATAAATTATATATTTTTTTTGTTATAGATTGTTGCATTCACTTTCTTGGCTGTTGCCTTTGCCGTTCAATCCGACGAGCAGGCTGAAATCCTCTCCCAACAGTCCGAAGTCAACTTCGATGGATCTTACCAACACGCTTATCAAACCGCAAACGGCATCTCCGCTCAAGAACAAGGTGTATTAAAGAACGCCGGAAGCAAGGACGGTGAAGCT